TTTGTTTAACTATTTTCTCAAAGTTAATCTAATAGTGTAAATGAATAAATAAATAAATACTTACTTAGTTATTTTTTCAAAAAGGTTAGTCAATCAATTCAAAAAATGATTTTTCATACTTTAATTGGTTTAATACATTTTAAAATGAACTAAATAAATTCTAATTAGTCTAGTTTTTCTATTTATTTTCTAATCACTTGCACCTTAATTCAAATATTTCCCTTTTAGGTCTCTTCCTCTAAAAATATAGAATAAAATGGTTCATTCCTTAGTTATATTTTCAAACTTAATCAAATAGTGTAAATTATTATATATTTTTATGTTAGATTATTTTTTCTAAAAATAGTCATATATATTTTTAGTCAAGTCGCAGGTCAACCGCATGTTAGCGGGCACTTCGAATGCTTATACCCTTCTCGAAGTGTAAATTGAACCCCGAACCCTTTTTGGTATTTTCAAATGATTTTTTCTGTTTAAATCTTTGGAAATTATAAGTTTTCTTGATTTCTTCAAAAAATTAAGTGGCGACTTTTTTCTAAGTATTTTTCTCTAATCGTTTTATACTTAGAACATTTCAAAAAATAATTTTTCTAAAGGTTAGGAAAATTACGACACAAACAGACATTATATAAGAGCTTCCGAATTACCGAGTAGCCATGCTTTCCATCCTTGTTACCACGGTCAACTTGCAGCACTCCGTTTAAACCCACAACTCGCCAGATTACCTAAAGATGTGAAAAGCATAAATTAATCAGCAATTACCGCTCTACAGCTATGTTTGTCACGTAAAATATTTTCTGGAGAAAACAGTTTAGTTAGTATATTACTTGCCTTTGGTGACTTCGAAGATACCACCATCACAAAAACTCCTGAACACCCATTTTCCAGTTGACTACATAGAAGAAAAGTTCATCATGATTTCATTCAACTTCATTAAATCATATCCTTAGTATGACGAGGATAATAGTCTTCAACTCACAACATTGACGAGATGTTATCCGGAGGAGGCAAAGTCTTATCCACATGAGAATTCATGGATGACAATGATGTAATCTCACATCCAACAAGCTGTTCATTTGGAGAGGACATTAGTTCTTATTAATAATCGAAGAAGCTTTGAGTTGTAAGCGAGAAGATTACCATCCTAAGTCCAGCTACAAAATGTACGCCCATGTCTAGAATGAAACCACCCTGAAGAAATCAAATGAGATTGTCAAAGAGCAACCAATAATTTTAAACCAAAAGAGAGTAGACAATGCACAGGACGGACATGCTTCCATTGAACTTAAAACTACACAAAAGATCTTTGAGTTCAGAACCGAAATGACGCAAAAAAACAACTTGTGTGACGAAATAACAAAAATAACGTTAACGCATGAATTTCATGTGGTAAATGTGCCAAGTCTGACATTCCAGGCTAACATCTGTTAGGCCAAGTTTGACCAACTATATAACACATGAATTTTCAAGTTATGTGTGTTCCAATTACGGGTAGCAGGATAATCTGGTCAATAACGCAGTCAGAAATAATTGAACGTAACACATGAATTTCATGCATTATAGTTGGTCAAACATGGCCTAACAGCCGTTAACTTGGAACGTCAGTTATGTTTAGTTTTTGGCACTCATTTTCATCACAAAAGTAGTTCTAGCGTCATTTTGGTTCGGGACTCCAACTATTCAACACTATACTAATTTGTGCCAAATGTTAGATTTAAAGTTATTTAGCATGTACTTTGACAGAAGAGCACACCAGGATCTACACTAAATGAAACCATTTTTAAAAGGAACATTTTCCTCATTGATATTCAAAAAGTCAAGCCGATTCTTAATTTTTTATAAGATACAGAAGCCAATATATCATTTAGTGAAAAACTCACAACAAACTGGCGTCTCCAGGAGCTGGCGAAGTAAGGATTTGAGCTGTTCATAGCTCCTTCAACAATTATTTGGATATTCATCATTTCTCCAATTTCAGAAATTAACCTCTTGCCCTGTATAAGACAATAATTAATTCCCAGCCTAGTCACATTTGAAAATTAAGATCACAACACCATTAACATTACCTCAATGAAGGCAGGTTCAAAGCGATAATTTTCTGCAACAGCCCATATTGGTTGCTGAGTCAATGTGGCGCTAAGAGAATTATAGTGAGTCAATGCTTTTTCAGCCTCGTCCACAGCTGTATAAACAGACCAATCTCAGATATATAAAGGTGAAATGCATTCAAATGTAGATCATAAAAAAGAAAACATGATCTTTGGTTTTCCTTGACTTAATTCCAGATCTTTGGCTGCAGTGATAGGCTGAGGACTGAGGAGTACTTTTGAAATGAACCAACCAAATCCCCTCTCACGTAATGCAATGTAATCTAGAAAATGTACCAGTTTTCATACAGCAGGCAAGAAAATGACTAAATTATGATTCACCAAACTTCTCTGTCAATTCTAGCGGCTTATATTACGTGTGGTTTAACAAGAAAAGTAGCTATTTCTTAGTTGGTATCAAAGGTAAGGATAGAGGAAGATAGTCCGGAATCTATTCGGCTTCACTAGTATCTCGAGAACATGAGCACTATCAATGTCTCTTTCACATGGATAGCTACAGAAGGAGCATGCCAAACTCTGGTAATATACGGAGGAGAGAGATAATATCTTCGGTAGATCTTTCCTGAGTGTAAATTTTGCTGAGTTCCCAGACCATCTGTTTGTTGGTTGCAGATGTAGCTGTTTCTCAAGTAGCATAAGCCAAGAACAGTGAAGGGAACTCTAGTTTTTCCGGCAAGGACAAAGGATCAACAAGAAACTCAAGACCCTATGGGAACCATTTCTGCATGTATCTTTTGGAATTTAGAGGAAGGAATGCAATCTCAGACGTTCCAAAAGAAAAAATGGAGCTGTACACAACAAAAAACATAGATTCTCACTTTTTCTTTTTCGGGTATAAGATAAACTAAGCAAATGACATTGGCTCCTCAGAATTTAGATTGTTGAAAAGTACTAGCAGAATACATTTAATGTTGAAAAGTTTAATAGAGGGATAGGAATAATTCTAGAAGTTGGTTAGTTAAATGCATTTCAAACAGAATAAAATTGATAAGAGAAACATCGGCATTCATAAGTTCAATGAAATAAAACTGCATCTTACTTACTTGCGGAAGCTGGTTTCTCTGGAGTATCCCAATTTCGCCAACAGAGGATATGCAAATACACACTGGTTAGTTAATTGCACATCACACAGAAACGAGCACATTTATTTCAACCATTCATAGAGCACTAAAAGCAAGTATGTGTCCTGCTTTATTAACAAGGTAAAAAACATTGAAACTTTTATAGAAAATAAACTTCTTCAAAAAGAATGTCTGGCCACTATCCATGCCCCATCCAACCTACTTAAGGTAGCTTATCCAAATATATTAGTACAAAAGAGAAGCGTTAAAAAAAATACACCATTTATCACAAATTTTTATGCAATTACCTTGAAGGACATGCTTTCCTGCCTTAAGCAACCTCAGTGACATATCCACCTGCATGAATTGATGCAAATATCAAACACAATGTTCTGAAATAACTACATTTCATTAAGTGTAATGCTGATAGTGAAGACATTTGCCCTTCCATGTGATAGAAAATCTTCTTGTGATTTCGGGTCTTCTTTTAATAAATAGTACAGTCAGGACTTATTTGATAAAAATTTCCCTATCCCAGATATTGCAACTCCTGACATCAATGATCTTTTAACTATGTCCTTTTTTGTTGTTTCTCTAAGGGATCGTTTGGTTGGGAATAAGTTTATCATGGGATTAACTATCCCGGGATAAGTTATCCCACCATGTATATGGGATAACTTATCCCATCTAGTATAAATGGTGGAATAAGTAATCCCTTGACTATCTAATACCTCCGACCAAATGCAAGATAAAATAATCCTACATTTTATTTTTTTGAAACTACATTTTATATTATCTTGGGATTATTATACGCTATTCCTCACACCAAACGACTTCTAAGTTCTTCACAATTTACTGTGATTCCTATTGTAGCCAAAAAAAAAAGAACTATGTTTGTTGATAGATAAGTGTTACAACTTTATAAAGGTCCTGAACCGAATAACAACTAAGTCAACAAAATATATCATGAAAGTCAACATAAGGAAGAAGAATTTAGTGAATTATTGTATGCAATTCATTGTCTTTTAGAGGCTCTTAATGAAAGTATGACACTTCCTTTCCTACTTCAAGCCTATGTTGCTCGGACTCTGCCGTTGATAATTTTGAAGAGTCCAAGCAACATAGCTTCAAGCAGATTGGGTTATCACTTTCAGGAGAAACATTGAGGATTGAGTAATAGAGATTCAGCCAACTATTACAGAGAGTCCACAAAATGAGCCTCTCAGAATACTCCATATTCACTTAAATGGAAATCACGATAGTTTCCTACTCCGTGATAACCACCTTGACATGAAATAAAATGGAGGGGGTAACAAGATACAAGCGGCCAACATTAGTTACTTTGAGCATGTGGAACTTTGATGACATGTAAAAGCATACAGACAAGACAGAGAGATATACCATGGTTTGTCCAGCAAGAACCACAGCAACACCAGTAATGGAACTATCCTTAATGATCTCCTCGAGTCCAGCATCTCCCCACTTACATTCCACATTTGGGAAATGCTTCTGTGCTATTTCAACAGCACTTCTGGCAGATTCCTAACAAACATATACACATTCTCGTGACTCTTTAAAAGTAAAGATGACGACAAATAATAATTTGATAGACAGAAAAGGTACACAAAGAGATTCGGTAGATATTATCAGACTGAAACTTTTATTTCAAGAAAGCGCACCAACTAGAATACACAAAGTTTTCATTTCCAAATCCACAACAAACACCAGCAAATAAGTATTGGGCATTTCCCCGGCAACCCAATTTTCGCTTTCAAGAACAACGCTACACTAGACTGCTTAAAGTTTACATTTTTATCAAATAGGCAGGTAAATCCACTAACAAATCCATGTAAATAGCAGAAGTTTTATAGTTTATAACTTGTAGTTCCCAAACAATCCAATTCTTGCTGTCAAGGTCAATGCAACAACTACCATGGTGAGCGTGAGGAGAGGTAGAGGTAGGCCTAAAGGTATTGGGGAGAGGTGCCTTGAGGAAATTAGGTAGGACATGGCGTAGCTTCAGCTTACCGAGGACGTGACCTTGGATAGGATGGCGTGAAGGTCGAGAATTAGGGTTGAATGGTCCTAAAAATCCTATGTTTTCGAGAAAAATGTCCAACAATCCTATGTTTTGCTGTGAAGAATGAACTAAGAAAATGGAAGAAAAACAACTTCTTTTTTTATGACAGTGGTGTCGGGCCAGCTTTCAGCACCTCAAATAAAGCAATAGGTATAAGGTAACTTTGTCCATCAAAACTAGGACAGATGGCAAGAAATCACCTAGTGTTTTTTTTTGGAAGGAAAAGAACAATTCTACAGCTAGACTACATAAAGTTCCCATCTTTATCAGACCCATAAACTAAAATCCCCAAACAAATGCATACAAATGCAGAAGATTTTTCCTTTGCACAAAAACCCAGTTCATAGCTTTGAACAATGATCCAAAAAACTGGAAGAAGAAGAACAATTTCACAGCAAAACTACATAAAGTTCCCATCTTTATCAAACCCCATAAACTAAAATCCCCAAAAAAATGCAGAAGAACCTTTCTTTCCATCAAAAACCCAGTTCATAGCTTTGAACCATGATTCAAGAAAATGGAATCAACAGAACAATTCACAGCTAGACTACATAAAGATCCAATCTTTATCAAATCCCACAAATAAAATGCCCAAACAAATGCAGAAATAACTTTCTTTCCAGCAAAAACTCAGTTCATAGCTTTGAACAATGATTCAGGAACAATCCACAGCTAAACTACATAAAGATCCAATTTATCAAACCCCACAAACTAAAATCCCCACACAAATACAGAAGAACTTCTCTTTCCACAAAAAACCCAATTCATAGCTTTGAACAATAATTCAAGAAAATGGAAAAAATATTAAAAGTGGAAGCAAAATCATTATTTACCTCAGTGCGACTCCAAATAGCTCTGAGAATAAAGAGATTAGAAATCTCAGCTAATCTTGGAATATACTGAGTTTTAACAAAAATGCCAGCTCCAAGAATGGCTATTTGAGGATGCTGAGCCATTGCAGATCTTAAACCACTGGTTGATCTGAACACCTTATTCTTCAATTTCACCACTGCTAATCCCCTGTTACTCCTCCTAATTTTTTTTCTTTATTTATTTTTATTTTAGTCAATTTTTATTAAAAAGTATGATTTTTTGTTTTTATTATTTGAGTGTTATTCATGTCAAAATTGATATACATGCTAGAAGTAGAATCCAGATAATCCTCACAACAATCTGAATTAATTTTAGTAAGCCTTTCTCAGTTTATAATTATTTTTAAAAAAGTGATATGTTAAACATATATATTTTAGGCATAATACATAAACATGACTCTTACATGACATGAATTTTTATTAACACGCATTAGTAGGAGTGTGAAAAACCGAACTTAAAAAAATGTTATTAGGTCATTGCTATTGTGTTATTGGGTTAACGAATTTTTAATGGTTTTATAAAAGAAATTATTGGACTATCGATTTTTAGTATTGGATTATTGGGTAAACCGATAACCTATTAAGACGATAGTAAGTTACTACTATACCCTACATAAATATTAAATATTAATAATTTAACATAACTAGACACTATATCATTACTCTACACTACGGTCTACACGCTTCACACGTCATAGTACTTTTACTTCACATCAGAAATTCCATATTATGTTTTGATTGCAACATGCTATTGTAATCTTCGGACTACATCTACTCTTATTGATGCAATTTCTCATCATATTTCTTGTTTCACTATATCAAAGCATTTACAGTTGATTTGCTTGTCTCACTGTATAGTGTCAAATTGTTAGAGAAGTGAGAAATCATATATTTATTTTATGAGCATTTTCTTATTGGGTAAACCGAAATCGAACAGTTAATGACCAAAAATTGATAAATCGAAAACCGATAAAAAAATATCTTATTGATTTAGCGAATTTAAAAACCGATAAACCGAACCGATAATATATAAAACCGAACCGACCGATCCAATTTTTTTTATAGGTTTTGTTACGATACTTAAGTAGTGTAACAATCAAGGAACATTATCTCATCAAGATGAACTTGAGATGACTAGCCTATAAAGTAAGTTTTATTAATATGAAAATGTTTTTAAATATGTCATCGAATTTTCATAAAAGATTTATTTGTGTTATTCGCTAAAAGTTTGGCTTATCTATGTCATTTTCGTTTGAGAAAAGGTTCATGCATGCCATTATTTGTTAATTGAAATGACATAAATGAGTCAAAATTTTAACTAATGACATATATGAGTTTTTTCTCAAAGTTCGATGACATATTTGAACCTTTTCCCTTTTAAAATGATGATTTAATTAATGATGTTGCCGAATCATAATTGACCACATTGTAACACCTCGCCATTTGAAAGAACTAGAAAGAGCTAGAATTAGAAAGAGTTATTTTTGGAAAGAATGAAAATCTGGAAAATTTGTTAAGTTATGTTAAGTTTGAGTTTTTGGTCAACTTCAAACAATCATAACTCCTATCTCAGGATGAGTTAGGTGTGCTTCCAGATATCATAGGAAAGATCTTGGAATAATCTTTCCAACGCCGCCGAGTTTATTCAATTATGAGTTTGTATGAGTGAGATATGCTCATTTGAAGTTGGGATGTTTAAATAAGGAAAGTCTAATCCGGAATTTAGAAGGGCATTATGGTCTTTGTAAAAACATATTTTGCAAAATGAAAACTATTTTTAGTTAACAAATAATGGCATGGATGAATCTTTTCTCAAACGAAAATGACATAGATAAGCTTTTTATCAAAGTTCGATGACATTTGAGTATTTTCCTTTTTATTAATTAGTTAGAGGTGAGCTTTCTATTTTTCTAGTTGGCTTTTACAAAACATACTTTTCTATTATTAAAAATCAATACTCGTATTAGATGGGAAAAAGGACAAATATACCCTTAAACTATCGTAAATTATATGCAGATACCCTCCGTCTTTTTGGGATATTGGTGCCCCTGCCGTTCAAAAACTAGAGCATATATACCCTTTATACTAACGGACATACACATGTCATAATCTTATCCACTAACCTGACATTTATTAAATATCGGATCGACGGATAAGATTGTGTCACGTGTCCCTATTTAGTCTTTTGTTAGAGTGAAGGGCATATATGCTCTAGTTTTTTGGACGATAGGGGCACCAATGTCCCAAAAGTATGACGGAGGGTATCTGCATATCATTTACGTCAGTTCGGGGGTTTATTTATCCTTTTTTCCATATTAGAATTCTTTCTTCTTTTCTTAAAAACTCCGTCATCTACAACCCTCTCGTAGATTTGCTTGCTTTAAAATATATTTATTGAAAGGAATAAAATCCAGGGGAAAAAAAGGAATAAAGATTCTTGTATTTTTGTTTTTTCTTCTTGTTTTTATATTTAAAGTTACTTCTACAAATGTTAGTTTTCATCTGTTGAAAATTTTGATGACAAATGCCGGCCTTTTGTGACATAATTAAGTGTGGCTAATTATGTCATCTTCAATTAATTTTATAATAATTGTTCCCCAATCGTAAACCAAAATTTTGAACTTTAATAATAAGGGATAAGGGTTTGAAAAATATCCCAACTTTGGTCGGATTTGTTGTTGTGATACTAAACTTTCATGAGGACCTATTACCTCCCTAGACTATTTAATACCGTATTTTTTACCCC